ATCTGCTGGTCCCAATATTTGTGTATTTTACAATGAAGAAACTGAGCAACAATCAAGTAAATTAGGTACAAATGTCTTTTCTACTTTTAAAGAGGTCTAGAATAGAAAGTCCACATCTTCTACCTATTCTGAAATTTAACAAAGCGCAAAGCAAAATGGGTTTCTCGTACTCATATTCACAAGCCTTTGAGTTAAAATAATTTGTAAATCTAGGGGCCAGCAGATGACATAATAGTTACATAGCTGGACTCCCATGTAGTCAGCTGTGGTTTGAGTCCCAGAGCTGGTGGCCTAAAACTCATGCCAGGAACATGTGTGTGCGTGCCCAAACTCCTGAAAGGAGAATGGAGGAGAGGGGATTGTGACGTGGCCATCTCCTCTGGAAGATGATTTCTTGCATTTTGTCTCTCTGTCTCTGTCTGTCTCTCCAGCAAGCACATGTGCCCTATAGTAAAAATCTCTCAAAAAAAAAATAGTAATTTGTGGGACCAGCAGATGGCATAATGGCTACATCACTGGATTCCCATGTAATCAACCGTGGTTGGAGTCCTGGACCCAGTGACTAGAAATCACGCCGGACGCGTGTGCAGGCATGCCCAAGATTTCAAGAGGATAATGGAAGAGAAGGGATTGCAGCATGGCCATCCCCCCTGGGGGGTGATTTTTCACTTTCTGTCTCTCTGTCTCTCTTCTCTCTTTCTGGCAAGTGCATGCCTCTTGTAGCAAAAATCTCTCCAAATAATAATTTGTAAATCTTAAAATGATTTTTTTTTGTCACTATTGGGCCATAGTTTGAGGTTGAACTTGAATTGTTTATTCTCCACAAATTCATATTTAAAGGAACTTTTATGAAAGAAATACACTGAATCCTTCCTTATTCTTTAACAAATTTTGAGGGGCCATTACAGAGTAAAAGGTAGGTGCTAATGATGACTTTTTTTTAACTTTTCATTTAGAAGTAATTTTAGATTTACAAAAAAAAAAAAAAAAAAGAAAAAGAAAAAAAGAAAACTTTGTAGAAATAGTGTAAAGGTCCCACATGCCCTTGACTTAGCTCCCCAAATGTTTTTATATAACTGCATTACAGTTGTAAAAATTAGGAAATTAACATTGATACAATACTATTATCTAACTTAAAGACTGTATTTAAATTTCACCAGCTACCCTTATATCTTTTCTTTTCTTTTTTTTTTTTTTTTGGAGAGGTTTTCTCATAAAG